CAAATCGGAATTTGTATGTGTAAACGGGAGCAAATAGAAGGTTGTGAAAAACGGCCAATAAACACTCACATTTTGCCGCTCCGCTGCTCAAACAACGTTTCACTGATCAAAAATCCCTGAGGTCCTTTTGATGGTACATGTGTTTAGACAATGTGGAGTGATATGGAGGCCAATCGGTGAAACGGCCGAGGAGGAGTCGCTTTCCAACCGACATGTATGAAAACTTTAGCTGTTCATTTTTCCATTTTGCAGTGAAATTTATGGGCCTCCTGTTTGTCAGAGGGCGGAGCCATGATAACATTTCGGTCGTATCTTGACTTGAGGAACATGTGTACCGAATTTCATGGCTCTACGACAAACTTGACCTCTGAAACTCCCATTGGCTGTTGTAGGTGGCGCTGTTCTGGCATTTTTTGAGTCCCATAAAAATAAACACCAAAATATCAAATTTTTCACCAGGTCTGATGTTTGGTCAAAATTTTACAACTTTTCATGCATGTTCAGGGGGTGAAATTAAGGCTCAAAGTGCAGAATTTGACATCTCTAGAGCAAAAACAATAGGCCCTTTCCCCGTTCGGGGCTCGGGCCTAATAAAACAGTAAACAAATGTCACTGTGAAATCGATCGACTAAAACAGTTTCAAAACAAGTGCAAATCATTAAAGTGCTCTGTTCACACTGATAACAGCTTGTGGATAAAAACTGTTAGCATAACGAGATGTCCTGCATCTCAGAGAGCGATATCTTCTGCCAGAGGGAAGAAGCTGGAACATGGCTTTCCCAGGGTGGCCAGAAGAGTCATTGACAATCCTAAGAGCTTTGTTTAAAAGTCTGGATTTATAAAGAACCTCCAGAACAGGAAGCTCACAGCCCACGGTCCTCTTTGCAGAGCGGAGCACCTTGTTTAAAGATCTCTTTTCTTTATCTGTGATGTTTCCAAACCACACAGACACAGAACCAACAAGTAAACTCAATGGTGCAGCGATAAAAGTTAAGCAGAATCTTAGAGTTAGTGGTAAATTCTCCAAGTTTACGCAGAAAGTAGAGACGCTGACGAGCTTTCTTAACGACTCGGTCAGTGTTTTTAACCCATTTCAGGTCGTTAGACAGAGTTAAACCCAGAAACTTGCACTCCTCTACGATCTGCACCTGGGAGTTGTCGATTACGACAGGCAAATGAGAACTATTGCGACTGAAGTCGTAGACCAGTTCACATGTTTTGGATGCGTTCAACTGGAGGTTGTTAGTTTTACTCCACTGAACCACATTTTGTATCTCTGCTCTATAAGAGGATTCATCATTGTCACTGATGAGACCGATGATGGTGGTGTGATCAGCATATTTAATGATCAAGTTTGAGTCAGAGGAGGACACACAATCGTGAGTGTACAAAGTAAAGAGCAGAGGACTCAAAATGCTTTGTCACTGTGCATTGTGTTTCACATTCACTCTGGTTTTCAAAAGAACAAAGTGTCCTCTCTTTGGAAGCTTCTTTCTGTTGGGCTGCTTAAAAGCATTTTCATAAAAAAGATGGCACGCACTGTGTTAGCAGGGTTTCTATTGTTACTTTGCTGTGAGGTATCCAAGTATACTGAGACATGTTTCTCCTAAAAGATATATTGCATAAATATGAAAGAAAAATATCAAAAATGACAGATTTCTAAGACACAATATCTTGCAATTGCATAAAATATAGGGCTTTTACTGGTTCAGAACTATAGTATTGAATACAAGTTGGGGTGCTCGCTGGATCAACAAAAGAAGTACTACTATTGAAAACTAGACTTCGCATCAGGACGGGCTGAATAATTTGCCAATGCATTTATCACAAAGCACCTGTCGTGCCCACGTGAGCCCCGACAAAGACACCAAGAGTAAACATAAAAACTGAGTGCCTTTTATCTATTTCTTCATTTCACCAATCACTATGTCCTGACCTAAAAAGCCCCTCTGATAAAAATGCAGTTTATGTAATACACATTTCTTATTTATATTGTACATACAGTATTTTAGTGGTAGTGAAAACTGGAGCATCCGGAGAAAACCTGAGCTGAAATGTGGAAAATGACCTTCTGTCAACCGGGATTTGAACCCAAGACCTTCTAACCCTAAGTGAAAGCTAACCACTCAGCTGACTTTTCTGTCTGAAAAGCTACATGCATGTGAAAACCAGAGCTAAAGTGTTATTGAGAGTGAGATTAGTTTATGTGGTTTGAAAGCTGGATACCCCAATAATAGTAATCAGCATTATTCATTGCAAAAACAACTGTTTACCCCCCGCAGCTGAATTATCGTCTTTATTCCCCATTTTCCAGAACACACATGCACACATTAAAAGGTGGCTTGCAATTGAGTGCTTTGCAAATGTGTCACAACCGATTTGTCCTTGGTCTCACACTAGTTGCTAACCAGTCCTGAGGCTCATAGATACAACCAAAGCCCCAAGAATTTAGAAGTGAACATTAATCGCTTCTGACAATCGGGCTGCAGTGGTTGTAAATCTCTGTCACAATTGTTTATAATCAGTATCAGTGTGGCTTAGCTCTAAAAGTATACGAAGCTCTTGAAAAGTATAGGTGCCAGGTTCATTCATCACCATCTTTTTCATTAGGGGAGATTTAGTGTATTTTACTTGGATAGTACACCTGCAACACTATTTAAATGGTTTTTATTTCATTAAAAACAGTATGCATTGTCCCTATTGAAATAAATAAAACTACAGTTAAAATTATATAGTTGTAATTGTTTGTTTCTGTAAATGAAATAGCAGACCCAGAAACAGTGGGTTTTAGCTAGATCTGCACCAGTGACTGAGTAGAACATTACTTGAAATGCCATCCATACATCCATCCATTTTCTTCCCTTTAATCCATTTCTGGGTCGGGGGGGTGGCAGTCAGAGCTGCACCCAGTACACTTAGCACCAGCCCCTCACTGATCCTCCTGTAGGTGGTGAGTCCACAGGAGCTGAGATCTTTCAGTGGGGGCTTTGTGCAAAGTAGGGTTAAGTGTCTTGCCCAAGGACACAACGACAGCAGTCATCAGCGGGAGTCGTGAAGTAGGTCTTACGGTGGGCTCGAACCCACGACCTTCAGGCCCAAAATTATAAACAAAGATTATTTTTTCATGTTGCCAATCCAGTTACCTTGAAGGAATTTGTGTCTCTACATTTTAAGAGGAACAGAAAATGGGTTGACAAAAAAGAAAAGATACAAGCTATAATTTTTCTGCACAGCACTGAAATAACATACTAAACTAAACCATAAAAACACTGAGCTTTTGAAAATAGAATGAGAGTTCAAACGGATAACAAAGAATTACCGAACTACCCAAGGTGATCATTTGTAACATGAACATACGGTGCTTCTTGGGAAAGACATGCGTGAAATTACACTTGTTTGTCTCATGTGCAAGGAGGCATGAACCCATTGTACTGTTGTGTGCAATTCATTTGAATTACATTACCAGTGTGCAAAAGAGGTTCTACTCTATTGTTAATTCACAAACCAGAAGAAACAAAACCTGTCCATAAATGTAAAGTCATGGCATTAGACAGTGTATAAAACAGTATTAGATGTGGAATAACAAGGTGCAGGTGGACAGTGGACACATGCAACTTGAAATGTACAAATTTGCCCTTATTCATTATGTTGTCATTCAAGGCGACTGAGGACTTATTTTGGGCTGTACAATGGGGAATGGATTTTGTTCGAATGTGTGAATAAAAACAAAAACATGTGCATTTATTTTTGGAATTAATAGGTTCAATGACATTAGAAATGAAAGCAGGAGAGAATCACTGAGAGCCATGACAAAGGCGGAGGATGAAGGTATGAAGAGGGCTCACATTTAGCAGAGGTACAGTATGAGGGCTGTTGATGCTCATGGAGACAATGATGCAGTATACAGCAGGCCAAGAATAATAGCTGCTTTTTCAGCTCATGCATAATCACTACAGCTCTGATCGGAGAAAGAATGTGTGAGGTTGAGGCAGTTCTATTACTTATCTATATATATATATATATTACAAACATACAGACTACATACTATTTTCCCAGACTATTTTGTGTACATTTGATAATAATCACCATTAAATCGTTTTTATTGTCATCTTGAAGCACCTGTGTCCATGTAGCGGCTCATGAAGTCATAGATAAACAGTAAATGTCACTCAAATAGAGCCCCGAGGGTCATGCTTGTGTAGTAAAGTTATTAATAGTGTGTGATTATGATTTGTACTTGGATACGACGCTGCTGAGTGTCGTCTGTGGAAATATGCAGTGAAACAAACATATGACAGAACATGGGAGAAATGCCATGCCACTCCAACTACAGCCAAGTTCAACAGCAATGGACTCACACAACAATGCTTTGTATTTTGTAAAACACATTCAAATTTTGCCGTTTCTAATGACGCCACCTGCATGTGAAAGCCAAATCTCGTCCGACCTCTGAAGCTAAGCAGGGCAGGGCTTGGCTTGTACTGTGAAGAGAGCCAGGTGCCACAGTGGGGCGCTGTGGCTGTAAAGTGCCAAAATATCGCTCTGTCTTTAGACACTTGATATAACTAGAAATTGCCTAGAATGAGTCTGGTGTGTGAGTGATTGATTGATGGTGGTCGAAAGAAACGATGGCACATCCTGGGTGCCTGCCTAGCTTCTATCAGTCGGTCTCAGGGCAGCTGTGGCTACTGTAAAAGTCTACCACAACTGTGTAAAGAGTGAAAGTATAATGCCCTTAAAGCGTCTTTGGGTGTCATGCAAAGTGCTATTTTATCGTTATTATTATTACTGTTATTGTTAATATTAGTATTATTACAAATGTATTATTTCAACACAACACACAGGAAGACACCAGAAAGTATGAAATAGAAGCAGATGAAAGAATAGTTAGAGCTGCGTGGTTAGATGCCTTATGACCACAAAGTATTAATAACGGCATTATTCCCTCATGCTATTAAAATGGGTTAGAATGAGGCAAAGCATGCATTTTTCATTCTCACGTTTTGTTCTTTCGTTTCTGGTATTTTGTCACCATATCTTGCAAACTGCCAGAAGGAAAAAAAGAGAAAGAAAAGTGAAAAAGCATAAACAATTCCAAGTGGTACCCAGTATGATAACAGAACGAATGCAGCGCCTGCCGGAGTGAATCAGGAGAGTCTTTTTCTAACAGTGCTACTATATAATGTATTTGATCTCCTGAAGAGGTCTGTACATCTGTCTGTTTACCTGAGCGACTTCACACCCAGCACGACTCTCAACCTCTGTGCAAACATGGAAAACCAGTAGAGACGAAATGTGGAATCAAATTAAACGCATTGGTGGGAGTACAAAAGAGGTTAGAGAGGATTTGATGTGGCAACGTGGGAGATATGAAAAAGGACTATGTCGTGACTGACAGCCGTTTGAAAATGAAAACTTGCTGTTCTACACTAAGCGGGTTGTTGCGGATCATTTCTGCATATGTAACTTTCCCCACACAAAGCTCCTGACTTAAAGATTAAACATGATGATAAGACTTTTTACTTTTTAATTTCATGTTTTAGAATGAGAGACAATCACATGTAAAAAATGTCGAATAAACTATCAAAGAAAACAAAAGTATATATACTGTATCTGCATGTAACTCTTGATACTACCACAAGAGTATATAGTATATAGTAAGTTTATAGATTTATTTTTTATTTTTTCAAATTAGAGAAAAACCAGCTGCAAACACACCAATGTAACGTAATTTCACTTGCGAAATTGCCAAAACTAAGTTAACTTTTGTTTGTTAAAAGGCAGAAAACTGCTCTGAGTATCATGGAATACTGTATGGTTACAATCATATAGCATAAAATGTTTGAGACAGGAGCATTGAGATAGAAGGGGCGGAGTTACATGTTTGTGCAAGACATTCCTGATTTGAGCGCTAAAAACAACTCCAGATCTGTGTTTGATGAGGGAACAAAGTTATTAAAATCACCCATAAAAAATCTCATTTTGTATAATCTGAAAATGTAGTTTACCTGTTGATAAGATCGTCATTGTCGTTACTTTCCATCTCATCTTCAATGGCCGCCTGCAGGTCACCAATCCTCTTAAAGGCCAGTTTCAGATCCATTTGAAGGCTCTGGTTTGCTGCTTCCAGACTTTCTATGTCCATTTCCTGTTGAAGGGATAACACTTTAGTGAGTGCTATCTACTTGAAGTCATCCATGGCTCACGCAGAGCTGTACCAGTTCATGCTTTTTGCGGCTGGCCTCTGCCTCCTTCTTGGACAGCTCGCTCATCTCCTCCTTCATGTCCCTTATCTGCCTCAGGACTCTCTTATTCTGCTCTTTCTCACGGTTCTCTGCGGCGATGCGCTGGTTCCTCTCCTCCGTCATCTTCTCCAAATTTTCTTTGAGACGTGTCACTAGACTCTGACGAGAGATTATAAAGTTTGTATCAGGTTCAACTGAATCAAAATCTTGACGATTGAGTACAATGTGTGAAAAACTACATTGCTCCCTGCTGTGGCAATTTTACATCACTTTCAACCAAATTCTTATTTTCTAATGCAATGATATTTGTAATATACAGTAAATCAAATCTAATACCTTTAGGCGCCAGAGCAGAACTGCTTCATGAGCTTCTGATTGTAGGACACTTAGGTTTAGATCATTTATTTCAAACCTTCCACATAAACATAAATACCATATTAGGGCTGTGCTGATATATTCTCAGATACATATATTTATTTAGTAATATTGTTGTTTATTTTCCCCCGAGATGTTCTGTATTTATTTTTTGTTATTTATATCTATATTTATTGACTATTGAATAATCTTTCATCCATAATGAATTAATATAAATCCATCAATAAATACAGTGGATAATTTTTTTGGTGAATATGGGGTGGAGATAAGGGGCAAAAATCCATTATTTTTTACTGAACCTTAATGAATTGTGTCAAATAGAAAGTCCCTTGCATAGTGTCATACGTATTGTATCATATCTGCAGGCTCTAAATAATACCCAGCCCCATCGACCTGGTTTCCCACAAACGTTTCCCTACATTTTCCCGACACCTTTTTAAAAACGTATTTCTGTCATTGATTGTAGTAGTCCTCGATCTCTTACAACGTTTCAGAGCTTCACCGTTTATCTGCTTCACATCAAAATTCTGAAAAGACTATAAAGGGTTAAAATGTATTATTCAATATACCAGGTTACATCGGATCCCCTGGCTGAAATCCAACGGGTAAGCAGAGTCATGACCCCGCAGTGGTGGCACCGGACGGCAGTGCTGCTCGCCTGAAGGGCTCTAGAGGTGTGAATGTGGATGAATGAGTGTGTGATCTGAAATTCTTCTGAAATTTCCCAACTGGGCCGAATAAAGGATCTCCTAATCTTAGTCAAACACCCTCCTGGAAGGAAATGGTTTAGGGCTAAAAATAGATATATTACATTAGGTTTTCTTCTGTATTTTCCTGATATGTAGAGGTAAAAGTGTCAAAATACTCAACAGTCCATTGCGTGAATGTGGTCATACCTTGTTGATGACACCGACAGAAACAGAACCAGCAGCTGTGTTATATAAGATTAGGCACATAAACAAGTTTCTCATACCTCCAATCGTTTGATCTGGGTCCTCTCATACTCCACTTTGGTCTCCAGCTCTCGGATCTTTGCCTCCTGCCGGCTGACCAGAGACTTCTCCACCATCGACTGCTCCTGGAATTCAAGCTGACTCTGCAGAGAATGGACCTGTAGATGACACACACACAAAATTAAATTAATATTATAAAATATCTGTATGAAAATGGCCCTTGACTTATAAAGAGCACGTTGAAGACCAGAAGATATGAACCACTTCACATCGTTGATATTAGATGGAGATTGAATACAGGAACACACAGATTATACAGTTGTGTTCGAAACCCAGAATGAATGACTTTAATTGGTGGTTGTGTGAAGCCATAAAGTCAAATTAGCATGTTTTTTTTAATTATAATATAATTGAACCGGGTGAAGTTCATGCAAAGCAGTTCTGGAATTTACAGGAACTTGCAGCTTTACCATCAGAAAGGATAAACACCCTCTTCCAAAGCTACCACAAAAGACTCAAAGTTGTCATAGATATTTGTTTGAATAATCCTTTATAATCTCAAAAGTATGCCCCACAAATGTAGATAGTGAGACAAAACCACTGGAAGGTCAGACGCTGAGATCTGTGATGGCTTTTATCAATGTAAAATGTTAAATAAACAAATATAATGTAGTGTATTTTGTAGTGCAGTGAAACGTGGATCTCCAACCAGTAGCTCGCCACTCATTTCCAAGTAGCTCATTCACAAAAGTATTTCAAATATTACGTTTGCTATGCCTACAGCTGTTATACATCTTTAACTTGGATAATAGATTGTTCAGTCAGTCCAAGGCATTAGGTCACCATTATGGAGTTTTAACTTTATTTCGAACTGCTCTTTGCCCTTTTTTTGTCCTGAAAAAGTAGTTCTTCATAGGGAAAAGGTTGGAGACTCCTGTAAACAATGAATCTCACTGAAAATTAAAGGCCATTTTTTTGTTTAGGAAAATGTAACAGGCGTTTTTTATAAATCTGTAGATAAATATGGAAGATAAACATTATAAATTTAAAATTTGAACCAGCATCTTAACAGCGACTGTGCAGCAAAAGTGCATTACCAGAGCAAAAAAACCTGATTTTATTCACACATGAGGAGTTGGAGGTCGTCTTCACAGAAAAACAACATAAAAGCCTGAGTGAGTGTACTCTTGCATATGCTGCATTAACCTTTTAACAACACCAATCTGCACGGATGCCCCGCCTCACCCATTTAATTAATGAGCCACGGTGTACAAACAAAACAGAACCTTTAGAAATTACCTGTAATGGATTCTGGGAACGCACTAGATGGATGCTAATTGTGAAAGTATTGCACATCATGTTTACGTACCCATTTACCCAAACATTGCACACATGTAAATACATAAGTGTTCGGAATATTTTGTTAATACGTTTTTATACTCTGTGACGAGCAGAACGGTTTGGCAAGGGTAAATCTCCAGATTGATAACATTAGAGGAAAAAAGAAAAAAAAAATGTACTTTGCAAACTAGTGTTTTTTTAACAATTTATATGCAAATTGCAGAGTGCACTTTGGAGGGGAAAACTACCATGGAAACATTTCTGTATTTTTGTCACAATCAGAAGGCCTTTGTGGAAAGCAGAGAGCTGTGTTGAGGGGGTGGGTTTTTGGCAGCCGCCCACAGAGCCTTTCAATGCCTCCTTGTACCTTTTCTTGGATCTCCTGCTTCTCCTTTGTGGCTTCTTCCAGCTGAGACTGCAGGTCGCTGATCTGGTTCAAGTCCCTGGCAGACTGCAAAAGTCGACGGTCATATTTCAATTGAGGAAATTGGAAAGACAGAAATAATTGTATATGTTCTGTAATCATACTGTGCTGTGTAAAGGAGCATTTGCCTTCAACTGTACAGTACCATGCATCGATCCTTTCTACATTTAGTGCACTACTAATATAAAATGATTTGATAACAGAAACAGATTTGTGAATTTCCCGTTCAAGTTTTCAGAACATCTCATTTTCCTCAAGTAGATTTCATTTGACATCTATAATGTTTTGGAAATGTTGGATCTGAAGTCATATTTTTGGAACAATCACAAGTACAGGGAAATGATCTGTAATATGTGGTAGGTGAAAACATCCTGCATGGTAAGGTTTATAAGAAAAAAATGAAACAAATACATAATAATAATAATTTAAAGTAATAAAGGACAAGAACTACAAATGTTGTTAATTACGTTTTAGCATTTTCGTTCTATAAGATACCATACACTTCTTGTATCTGTTTATTTATGGAGCAGAGACCTGTGCAACTGCCGCCTTGTGCTTCTTCATCAGTTCATTCAAGTCTTCCTGGTCCTCCTCCATTCTGGACTGGAGATCGTTCTTTTCTCTCTGCAGTCGGCTGACCTGTTCCTCCAACTGCGTAAAGTGAAAGGAAAACAGAATTTAGTCGACAATGACAAGGTTTATTCATGAGCTGTTGAATATGATAAATGGTTATTAGCTGGCCAAGCTTTGCTGGAATCTCATCTAATGGCAATAGAACATAATGTGGACAGCGGTCTAGCTGGAGGATGAGACCTATTGGAAGTAATCAATTGCCTCATTTAGGTGGGAAAAGTGTGGCGAGCGCAGCATACTGGTGGTGTCCTATTCACAGTTCATCTTCTGCTTTCAGGGCCGAGACTGGGGCCTTCAGAATACACCCTAATATAAATCATTTACCAGACATTCCCAGGCTATAAATGCTGAAATTAACAAGCACGGCATCAACACACACATCCCTGAGTCTCCTCCCCAGAGACACAAACAACCTCAGTCTGTGAGAGTGAAGAGTAGGCAGAGCTCTCATGAGGCATCCAATAATGTATAGATGAAGAAAGGCAACAGATTTAGACTTATCTATCAGACACAAGCCAAAGGGCACTGATTATATGAAAATCCACAATGCCTTGATGTTGTATGCATATTCATGTACGGGTCTGGTCACACAATCTCTCTTGTTAAGTGCGTGCAGTTTGTTCTTTGAAAATAATAATTCTTTTTTTTTTTAAATAAATGAGCACGTATGTAATATAATAATCATAATATTGACTGAACGTACAGATAGCTTTGTTTTTGCAATGTCCTCTATTTGGATGTGCAGGTCTTCTATTTCCAGCTCCATACATTTCCGGGCCTTCACAGCTGCGGCACAGGTGAACTCGGACTCCTCCAGCTTAGAGGGCACAAAAGAGGAGAAGATTTATAATGGGCATTTACAAAAAGAATCAATAAACAATATGTGTAATTTTATTTTTGAAGCAGGATATGGAAAATAGGGCAATGATGAAATCTGCAATCCATGACAACTACTCACTGTATAATGTTCCTGATAGACTGCATGTAAATCTATGTCTTAATGCTAGGGTTATTTTTCCATAAATTATACATGTATACAGAAAGAGGCGTGAGGTTATATAAAGCACAACATGCTGTCTTCAGAACCAAAACAAGTCAGATAGATTTTATAGAGTTTATATATTTTGTTTGAGGTGTTTGTGCCCCAGCTTTAAGACAAAATTATATGTAAAGCAAGACAAGGCAAGTTTTTTTAGAAGGCACAAAGACAGTCACACAACATACAGGGCATATCAAAATCATGAATAATCACAGTACATTAAAAAGAATGAAGATAAAATCTCTCAGTTGTTTGCACAGGAAAACAGAACTGTTTTTAACTTGGATTTGAACATTTTCAGAGAAGAAGCCTGTTTGTATCACGGCAAAAAGTGGCTCCAAAAAACCAGAAAAAATAGCTACTATTAGAGGAAATGTACTTGTTTCAAGCTGAATCATCTGTCAGTGGATCATGATTTTTTCAAAAACAAAAATAACAAGTAATATTATCTTAAGTATCTTCAGTATAAAAGTAACAAATATGGTGTGATTAGATAACTACACTAAAATCAAGTGAACTACACTAGTCTGCATTTTTACTTTTTGCAGTGATGATGTATGTTTGTCTAACCATGCGTATTGAAATCAATAACGTGACATACTTGGTTTTTGAGCTGTGCGATTTCCCGTTTGCTGGGGGCATTACTTTTCAGGTGGTCCAGCATGATCTGTGCGTCTGCCAGCAGGACCTTAGTTCTCTTCAGGTCCTTCCTCAACCTCTTCTCCGTCTCCACGTCCCTCTGGCTTACCTAAAAGACACAGCACAGGCCTCTCCAGACAATATTCCCATCATACTTAAGAATCTACAGTGCCCCTTGAGATTCAATAGCGCTCTCTCTCTTTCTAATCAAAAACAAGGGCTATACTCAATCACAAGCACTTAGCTTCACAGACAGAAGGATGCTGAGGGTACCTGGTCTTGGGCATTCACCAGCTTGGATTCCAGATCTCGCTTTTCACGTAGCACTTTCTGTTTATCTTCATACTCCTCCTCCAACTGCACCTCCATCTGTTTCAGCTTCAGGGCACATCAAGAGACTCATGTGAAAGCAGTATTTTTCAGAGAACCAACAAAAGATAATGGAATGCAATTACTGTGTCTGAACGGCAAATAAAAACAAAAGACGAAGCGTATTGAGAAATTTTAATGTTATTATCAGAATGTTACTTTTATGAGTTTTTAACCATTGTTCATTATTAGCTTTTTCAGATAAGACTGTAAAACATCCAAGCAGAAATATAGATGTTTTTGTTATTTGGAAATTATGAATGATAAGGCACTTACACTCATCGTCAGTGGTTGGGTTCAATTTACAAATTATAATGACAACAAAAACTTAAAAAAAAAAACCCTGATTAGACATTTACATTCCCCTTCATCATTAGTGAGTTTCTTGTGGAGGTTGTGGATGTGGCGCTTTATCCTCTCTAATGGTAAATCTGGCCCTTGGCAAAACGCCTCTAGTTCCAAATTCCTGGGCCACTTTGCATGAACTGCATATTTTAGTTCTCTCCCAGCTCAATTACCAAAATGTTTATTTGTTTATTAATTTCAAACATGCACAAGATATACAACAAAATATGTGACAATAGTATATGGCATCGCACAACCACAAACGATGAGTGGGGGGGATTCACCATCTCCAAAATGTGGCCAAAACAATTCAATTTCGGACTGGGTGTGAAACCTTTTTGCATAACTGTAAATTAACCAAAAACATAATTATGCTGTTTTTCTCCCACAAAGCCTATACCCCCAAAGAAGCATAACATGTGTACCTTCTTACTACAGGAACGCCTGATCTCATCCACTTCTTCATCTTTGCTGTCGATATCTTTGGAGTGGGTCTGCCGCTGCCTTTCCATCTCCATCTCCAGGCGTAGTTTAGCCTGAGATCACAGCACAATAATCCCATTTATGGCTATGAAGTGAGAACTGTGTAGAATCTTTATATACATTTTAGAACGATAAACTTGTCATGTTCACAGAGAATTAGAAAACAATATACAAATGAGTTCATTTGCAAAAACAGATACTGTATCTCCGTTTTGAAATGCTGTTCCAATATTGTATTCCTCTAGTTACAATCTTCAACATGTTCTGTTAATGGCTTTGGCTTTTCACAAAACGACTTGGTAAAGAGAAAATTGTAGGCGTTTCCAATATTTTTCTGTTTTTGCAAATAAACTATTGAAATAATGAAAAACAATATTATTTTCCCGTCGCACCTGCTCCAGCATCTGTATGGTCCCAGCTTGTTCGTCGAGCTCCTCCTCCTGGTCTTTCACCTTGGCCTCCAGGTCGCGGAGCTGCTTCTTGACTTTGGCCAACGAGGCTTCATCCTTGGACTCCTGGGAGGAAATTTCTTGTAGCTCGACGTCCAGCTGCTGCACTTTCACATTTGCTGCGTTTAGTTCTTCGTCCTTGTCCTGCAGATGGGAGATGTGCAATAAAGCAGCCCAGTTATGTCAGGAGGAGCAGAGACAGCGTGCCCCAGGAGAGGTGGCCGGTGCACATCTGTTTGTGAATGGTGGAGGAGCTTACCTGCAGCTGCTGGCGGAGGTTAAACATCTCAGCAGTCAAGATGTCTTTCTCGCGGGCCAGTTTTTCCCTCTGGCCCCGCTCTCTCTGTATGTCGGCCTGAGTCTGGTTCTGCTCCAGGTCAAATCTGGAAACAACACATGCAACAGGTGAACAAGGGGAGATAAGGCTGCTGCATGAAGTGACAACGCAGTGGGATATTTGAAAGGACTATGTTTAACATCTCTGACGGCCACCCCCCTGACCCAGAAATGGATTAAAGGGTAGAAAATGGATGGAAAAATGGATGGATGTTTAACATGGTTTGTCAGAAAAAAAATAACTGAACTCTGGCAATGAGGCACATGCCAGACTCTGTGGCGGCCCAATGAGCGCAATTCAACACAAAAGATGAAAAAGATGATATCATATAGTAAGGTCATAAATTGTAAGTTTTTAGCTTGAATTGAGTACACTTTAAAACAGGATTTGAGCCTTAAAACAGGATTTACCATTGGAACAGTTGCAATTTACGTATATAGCTTAAAACTAAATATTTTTGGAAGTCCCATTGGAAACTTGTTTTAAATTCAATAAATAATTAACTTCACTTTTTTCTGTGAAATCTTCCACGTAGTTCTGTAATAGGGTTTAAAATATATGGAAAAAAGTGTTTGGATAAAATACTATCATAACAACAACCATTGATTGATAATGGTTGGGAATAATGTTTTTCAGTATTTGTGCACATGCTCACTGTCACTGGCTCACAATACAATTGGTAGAGAAGTACAGTCATTAGCAGATGTTTTTACATGAAGATACAGCACAATCACAAAAGGGGTTTCATTACATAGTTGACTTTGGACTTAGTAAAATCCACAGCTTGATTGCTTGCCTCAGGGCTTATCCCTTTCCATTAGCCATCAATTTACAACTGGGCTGTAATAACGTGCAAAATGTTGTCTTCAATTGTCTGGGGCAGAAACACTTATGGTTGGTGAACTTAACGGCTAAGTGTTTCATGCTGTCAGCTCGTTGTAACTCCCTGTTTTTCTCTCCGGAGTGCTGCTGAAAATAATTTCACCCACAGAGCATCTTCAATTAGCCACAGGGGAGAGATCACATTCTGCCACAGCAATAGCTTCTCAAGTGCTTAAAGTCTGAGTCATTTTCGCAGCTAATGCAATTCCACAGATTACAGAACATCTCAGTCACTATTCGAATTAAAGAAAACTTTAGCGTTCTGCTGGGTGGCCCTGAGTGTCTGCACTTAGCCATCCAAGGAGAATAGAGCCATCAGTTCTGTTTAATGTGTTTGTGAGACAGGGACAAGGGCCGGAAGCAGACTGATGGACAGGCACCACCAGACAGGTACAAAAATATACAGACATCTATTTTGAGACTGACTTGCGCTGTTTCTTCTCCAGATCGTGGTTGCGGCTCTGCAGGCCCTCCAGGTGGAGCTTGGTGTCCTGCAGTTCAGCCGTCAGTTTCTGGCATTTCTTTTTCAGCTGCTGAACAGAGCGCTGCACATCCTCATGGTCTGTCTGCAAATCAGCCACCTGGAACAGACAGGGACAATATATAAACCTAATATCTTTTCAAATATGTTGGAGAGAGTCTAACATCTGAGGGAATAATATGTTTTAAAGACATATAGCCAACAATAATTAAACATGTGAACATTCTTGCCTTTCGCTCCAGCTGTTTTTTGCTCTGCTGCTCTGTGTCCAACTTGTCTTCAAACTCTTGTTGGAGTTTCTTTTTGACAAACTCCATTTCACGAATGGCTCGGTTGTATTTGATCCGCCACTCACCGCCTATTGGGGTGACATAGTTTTACAAAAACGCCTGTGTGACACTTGGAAGTCTGCTGCTTTTTAATACAGGGCAGAAGCTCAGACAGGGAGAAATGATGGATTATGTGGCAGACTATGGCTGCCGTGATAGAATCAAAGATATGAATCATACAATCTTTCAGGACATAAAAGTTTTTTCATCATATTGTGAACTCAGAAGGTCAAACAAATTCCACCAGGCAGTGTCTAGCATTTAAAACTCTTATCTTGGCTAAACCTGTATGCTGGATTCAAACCACACCACAATAGTAGTTAGAGAAGGACATGTCTAAGTGGCACTTTCACAGTTCTTAGCCCGACCCTAATTCTGCAGCTGTCAGAGGCTATCAGAAGGGTAGGTGCACATTCGGCTTCAGGTTCATTCCTAAAGCCTTATCATTTTAGAGGCTGTCCATTTCTCCTTCACATACTAACACCAGCTCCTCCATCAGAGGCGCTCATTAGCATATATATAGCATAATGACAACTTGCAGGGCCACCAGCTCTGATCCCAACGATTATTTTCTCATTCATCTAAAAATTCTGATATGCTCTGTAATGGCTTGTCTGCTAAGGTGGGGTGAAGGAGGTGGAAGAAAAGTCACAGCACAAGCTTAGTTTCACAGCAGGTAGGGACCATTTGGCAACAGGCGCGCCATACTGTATGCTTAGGAGTAAATGTCTTTCCTGTAAAGCTCAAACTAAAAATGCACAAAATAGCATTGTGCACAACATGACCAGCCCTAACCGCTACATCCCCCTGCTGAAAAACAGTCAAAGAAAGGGCCTTGTTCCTGCAGCTGTAATTAGAATACCATTAGTAAGAGATTTTTTCAAGCTGTGCACATAATAATCATATGAAGAGGCCAGAAAATATTGTCAGTGACCCGAACTGACATGCCCAAGAGGCAGACAGTTCAGCTCTGGCCGGAGTCATGGGGCACATTTAATTGGGTATTTAAAAATAGGTCTTTCAAAACACAGCCCTCTACCTTTAGAAATACATTGTTGCTGTGCAGTGCAACTAACCAGAATCATCATCGTCAAGCTCTCCATTTAAGTCTGCAGTTTTCATGAGCCGTGCCTCCATCACCTCCATCTCCTGGGCTTCCATTTGCTTCTTCATTGCCTCAGATTTAGCCTGAAACGAGACCATTTCCAGTCTGTATTTACACGCTTGTTTACTTGCAACATTAATACATTTTTCAAATAACTTGCCTGCAGATCCTTGAGGTCCTTTTCCAGTCGAAGTCTCTCTGAGGTCTCGGCCTCCAGCATTTGAGAAGCGGACTCACTTGTGCTCCTCTCATCAGCCAAATCTGCGACCAGGTCAGAAATCTGAACAATGACAATAAACAAAATACAACTTGATTTACAAAATATTTGGAGAATTGATTGTGTTATATATACATATATACATGATAAACCAGACACACCATCACATCTGCACACTTTTTAACTCAATCCGTAATCAGTAGTTTTTGCACAATCCTGCCGACAGACACGCGCACAAACATGCACACACACACACACACACACACACACAGACAATCATAATAGCTCCCCTATTGGCGGAGTAATATTGGGTCATAGTTAGGGGAATTTGTTGTAATTTTGTAATGGATGGAATAATACTTAAAGCGTATAAAATAAATAGTCAGTAAAGGAGCTATATCATCACAACATAAACATGTTCACTGAAACGATAGCGCAGTATTTGAGCTGTTTACTAAGCAGCTCACAGCCCATTGTAGTGCCCTGTTGCAAGTCCATACCAACACCCAGCTGTCCCAGCATGCACAGCTGCCATAGCCAAAGGGACTTACCCTGGTCTCCAATCGATCTGTGTTTAGTCTCAACTCGTTCCTCTCTTTTTCTACTCTCTCTAGCTTTGCTTTCATCTGTTGGATTTCCTCCTACAACAACACAAACACGGTCACATATGGTTACTGCTATGTTTCGAATGCAGTATAATTAATGCAGTAGCTATAATATGATAATCAAGAGCTCCTCACATCTTTGCCTTTCATCTGCTCCTCAGTCAGCTGGACTTTAATCAGAGGCTGCACCGTGGTGAAGAGCTTCCACCAGGGCCAGTCTTTCACTCCATGGTTCTTGGTTATGTTCTTCTGGATGCAGCGGATGGCCATGTCCTGTATCTATAAAAACACATACGCAAAATAGCTTGTTTTGTAATTGACAATGGAATTGTAATTGATGCAATAACCGTAAGAATCACGGTGCATATTAACAATAACTTAACTATGCACCTAGATGCATAGTTATTTTCACATCTTTATAATACAATACAACACGTTCTAGGATCAGTCACAGTGATTTATTAAAATAGTACTCACTACTACTGTCTGAGTGCCACATATAACATACACTGCAATATATCAAGAAATCAGACTGTAGGTTTGTTTCAGAGCCAGCAGCCAACCCAGGACATGCCAGTATCCTCTAAAGGCTTCCCACACAGTTCCTAAGCTAGAAGCCAATTTTTTGATTAATTAAATCAAACATGTTGGCAGTTAATTCTGAGTATTACACGATTTCCATGCCGCTTATGCATGAGACTCTAGCAGCAGATTATGGGCAAACCCAATTAGAAAAACACAACTCCCGGCATCAGGTATGTTTTAGCCGGAAGCAACACTCTATGACCAATTAGGATTTGTCACACTGTAAAAGCCTTAACACGGAGCACAACACCGCAATTCTCTGACAGACAAATTAAACAGGTCTTAGTTGTCATTTTTCATCTAAAATGGAGGGAGAACAAACAGAAGGAGAACACATTGAATATCGCATTAGTATACAAATTTATACATTTGTCAAGTGTTAAGGAATAAATAGCAAAACAAGAAAAAGAGCCAGTATTGAAGGAAAAAACACGCAGCTATCTGGGTGTGTTCACAGTAAGGTGTCAATTGCAGTATCTTGACTTTAAAAGGTTAAAAATGAAAAGTGAAATTACTATCATAGATTTGAAAGAAAGATTTCAAACATAGATATCAAAGAGTTATTGTGGATAAAATCAAAAGAAAAGATTTTTTTTTTTAAACAGATCAGCCTCTGATTTAATTATTCTACTGTGACTTAAGTTACATAGAAAATAAAAGGTAATCAGTGACAAAGCAGCAGATTAACTCCCACAATATTAACATGGCAAACACAACATCAGTAAATCACTTCATTTAAAAAGAAATCCTCTTTGAAAAATAATCAATACAATTTTAAATTACCCTTGAAGAAACAGATATTTTTGTATCACATTTCATTGGTTTACTATATGAAAGTAATCACTTTGTTTATACTCTGTGTAAAAAAAAATCTATTAATCAAATGTGGACATCTGAAACTAAAAAAACCAAACTTTTTCTCCATCAAATTTCTCCAAAGGCATCACGTCCGTTACACAAATAGAACTAGCCACTATAGGAAATCTGACTTAAGTATAAAACATCTTCTATAGCAACTATGGACAGAAGAGGTATTTGGATAAACATATATAATGTATCTTCTGAATATTAAAATCAGATTTTTGGCATTCTGTCACACTTTTGTGCTCTTTAGTATGAACCCATCTAAGCCCATCTCCTTTCATTAGGACCAAGTTGTTTATGCAGCTACAATCTGGAACTGTCTTCTTGAAAATGACCTGAAGGATTACAGTATATCTTCACTCTTTTTTATGCCCTGTGTTTATTCATGATTTTAATGCTTTGGTTTCAATGTATTTTCTTGTTTTGTGAAGCTCAATTTTTTCATGGCAATGCAACAAAATACCACAACTATCCAGAAAGTACAACAATCCATGAAAAAAGAGAAGGAGTAGGATGAAGAAACAAAAAATCTTATAAACTTGCCTTGTGTGTGAAATGTACAATACAAATAAACCTTGCCTACACCCTGCACAAATACAGCCGAAACTATATGGAGAATTACCAAACTGCTCTGCGGACATTATCTGTATGTGGACATATGGAATGCAAGCCTTTCATTTTAAAAGTATGTGTTTTAATACCTGCCACTTACCATCGTATTACTTTTTATCTTAACATTCATAGAGCAATGTCAAGCACAGTGGAAATGTTCAAATGAATAGGCTCCGCAGTGAAACCTACTTGCTTTCAGCTTTTATGCCGTTTTCAATGCAAATAACAGAAAGACGGGGAAAAAATCCACACACATTTGTAGGGTACCTGAAGGACAGCACTCGCATTGCAGTAAGTGCCTGCTGAGGCAAAATAACAGACCTTAAAAATGTCAGTGCGTCCCCTTGAGGAGGTGCTCGAACGGGAAACATAGGGGGTAGGGGGGGGTACGAAAAAATGTGGCTTTGTCATTTAATGTCAGATGAGCTTGGCAGCGTTACACAAGGTTAACATGCCAGAGAATATCAATCAAATAAACTTGGAACTTTCTGTCACATCTGTATACATCAAGCAGTGAGAGACTTGGGCTGAATCCCTTCATTTCTGTACCTGAGGCAAAACAGTGTCTACCACCCTCCACCTGCTAAGTCGGGACTCTCAAACACCGCAGCAGGCATCGGAGATAATCAATTCTCATAAATGAATGACAGCAAGGGCACAAGGGCATTATATTAGGATTGTCCCAGGAATGAGGGACTCTGTAAAGGCCTTAACAGACAGAGGCAAGATGGACGCCACTCAATAATCCAGCAGACTGTGTTTCATTACTTCGGTGTCGACTAATTGAATCAGAAATAATAAAACCAAATGTGCTTCACTGGGGAAATGTCCTTCAGAGGCTTGTTGCAGATCCGCTCTATACGTACTGGTGGAGGAGCTCTTTAATTAGGCCCGGCTGTAGTTGAAAGATAGAGAATGAGGGCTAGAAAAAAAGTTTGCATAACAAGAATAATTGATAAGACTTTTTTAAATTTTTATTATGGATTGGACTATCATTTACATCCCAACAGGTTTAAATAATCTGACTAGTTAAGGCTCAATATGTCTTGTAAGGGGCTAATAATTAACATTCAAGTATAAACTGTGTCTTTTCAATTTAACCATTTCGATTAGGGCTGGGTTTCTTTCAGAGACTGTGATACGATGCATATTGAGATGGAGGACTAAAATATATTTCCAGATGATTTGATTTGATACTTTCAAAAATAAAGGTTTTTGGCCCCAGAACACTTCACACCCCTTTTACAAAAAATGTGTATTTAATTTTTATTGATGACTGATTGTCATTAAAGCCAAAATATTGAAACAACTCATAGAATCTGGAACAAAAACATTGGTAAAAATGTAGAGTGTAACTAATGCTATAATATCAATACTTATCTAAACAATATATTTTTCACACCTAATTGCAATTCATGTTACAACTGAATTAGCTTTTTTATTAATTGAGGATTAGCTGCACTAAGAGAATTGAAATTTCAGGCAAAACGGAAACCTGTGAAAATCTATTCAGCACAATGATTTGCTGCTTTAAAAGTCATCGTGATTTGCTAATTGTGGATAAACAAGTCTTTTATTGACCACATATCACACACGGATGCGTTCCACATTTAAAAAAAAACCTGGGACTTGATGAGCCTTGCATCATAGAACGGCAATGCATTTCGAAGCAGCAGGGCTTGGCTGTCCCTCGCAGATACAATGTCCTATACAGGCATTATTTTCAAGGGTTAGGGTTAGGGTTAGGGTTAAGAGACATGTAGTCGGTGTTCAGTGTTCCATGGTGGTTGTTGATTCTGTTTGTGCTGCTTCATCACTATCCGGGCTGAAGCCGCGTGTTCACTTAAATAGTAATCACAGAGAGGAGCAGGACTGCAGGGCTCCATACATCACACAGGAGGACATGTATGAAGTCTGCACAGATGGAGCTATCACACACTGGGAGAAAAATGCAACAGCCAGATCTGTGCGAGTCAGCGGCACTTGATAAGGATACAATGTAGAGGCATGGATTGATTTGTCATCATCAAATAGCCCCTTGTGGGAAGTGATTTGATAGTAACCATCTGTGATTGGTGTGGCTGAAAGTTTTGAAAAATGGTAATAATAACTGATGTACAGCAGAGGTTATAGATATGACTTCCGACAAAGTAATTTACTAGAACAAGAATTATCCCGGAATACCTTCTGAGGACCTAAAAGACTGCTAGGCAACAAGGGATGACATTTGTTTATCTATCGCATCAAAGGACATTATACAAAACCTCATAATTTGCCTATATACACGTACTAAATGGCGGTTGCAGAATACACTTCATTATTGAAGATGAATGATAAAAACTATATTTGAAATCTATTTAAAAAAATGCTGGGATCAGAGTGTATTGAATTAGAATATACTCTTTGACTAATGGCTTCGCATCCGTCTCTATTCAACATGAAAACAAGAGGATTTCAATGATCAAATTAAAAAGCAATTGGTGGCTATTAGTAAAGAAAAGGCAGCTAAGTGAGTGGTGTAAAGTACAGTTTGTCTCCTGAGATAAATATTTACAAAACAGACTGTGTTGCCTGGTTCCCTGCTCTTCTCTTGTCCTCCTTCTGAATAATGTACTCGGCTCGTACTGAACAGGGAAAAGCAAAGGGTCTTGGCGGGGCTTACAGTCAGTGTGTGTGTGTTTTATGTTAAAATAAAATGTACTTCTTCAAATAAGAACATATTTAATGTTATCTTTGCCTCAAGAACATTTTGTAATGCTGTATTCAGTGTTTGGTGTTAGCTCCGTAGGGTTAGGGTTAGTGGTGCAGACATGGTGCCACATCCAGTACCTTTCTTTTCTTGAAGGCTTGTCGTGCCAGGTATCCTCTGGAGGCAGCTTGGAAAAGGATTATATTACGCTTCGTTTGCTCATCCCGCTGCTCCTCCAGTTTAGCCAGGGTGCCAGCTCTGAAGAACAACTGCAAACCAATACAAGAAAACATTTTTAACTTATTAGCAAGGTAAAAACATTAGTGAAATGCTTTTAGAGGCTGAGAGGAAATTGGATTCAGGCTTCATTGGTTTGTGCGACAACAAACATAAAGTAGGAATCTAAAAAGTAAATAAGTGCACTGGAGCAGTGAATCAATACAAAATGGTGTAATCCGTGACTAGGGCAGCCTTATCAAAGGGACAAAGTTGTGATTAAGTTATTATCTTAGACAATCAGTCTTGTCTGCACCTAATCTGGGCAAAGGTAAAGCCGGAGAGTGCTGCTAATAAAAATCAGATCACATCTTGGCCTGTCAATATCCAAGAGAGATTACATTCTGAGATGCTGTGCAGATATGGCTTCAATGAGCTTTTAAATATACAGAAGGTGACTGAAGGGCTGTTTTCAAGGTCCTTTTAATAAAACCATATTCAAAACATACAAAAGTACTTGAGAGATTCAGGAATATGAATTCTAGGGTGACATTAAGTATGCATAGTTTTTTTGGCGGGCTGGACTGGAAAGTGTACTTGTTTCTAGTCTAGGGTGCCAGTTCAAATCGTGAAACGCAGCTATTTCAGCTCTAACTAAACACCCGCGCCTGGAGACAATGATTAATCTGCTTGAGCAGGAGCAGTGAGTGCATGAGGCCCTGGCAACACATGTATGCTTTTAATACAACCAGTAAGAGCAAAAAAAAAATGATTTAAACTATATTTACCCTTTGTGGTTCTCATCAACTCTGTTACCTAGACACATGCAGCTTATATGTAAGACTATAATGCACAGCCAGTGTAAACTAAACATACGGCTACTTTATTTGATGAACAAAGTTGGTCAACATGCTTCTGAAATGTTTTGGGATTATTCAATCTGTTTTCAGGCTACTTCACTTTCCACAACAGAATAGTTAGTACACAAGCAAAGTGCAATGTCACTCGAATCGCATGAAAATAAAAAAATGGTGAAGCATTGAGCGAAATAGCATTTGCACAAAGATTTTTCAAATAGCCTCAAATAAAGACGGGTGCATCAGAAGACTGTGTTCTTACTCAAGAGTGCAAATAAAAAGTGTTGTGGAACGCATTACTCACTCTGCTCAAACCCATGTGGTAGCTGCTCTTCTCCAAATCCAAGGACTCCAGTAGCTCCTCCACAGCCTGGCAATCACACACATAAGAGCACTTGAACACCCAGGGACTTCACGAGTGGATGAGATATTAACCACAAAACAGGCCCATGAGCAAGTGAGAACCACACCAGCTACCTACATCTATGTTTTAACCACACAAGATGTCTTAGTTTCCTTACAAGACATGATTCAGATACAATTATTTAGCCAGGATACTGTGCTTGTTTGAGTGTAGCAGGTGTGCCCCGCTTCTCCAGAGCAGCCTCAAGTCCAAAGAGACCCCATCTCGATTACAATAGTGGTCTGCCACAAACACTGAGAAGCTTTTGTTTGTCCATGTTTCCACAGAAATTCAGCCCTGATACACACACACTTACACACACCCACCCACACACACATCCACACGCACATACACACACACACACACACAGCAGAACAGAGCCTTCCTCATCCCTATCCCAATTTGTTCGTTCTGCCTTCTATAGTTTTATTCTATAACTGGACACACACAAATATTGTTTTTGTTTCTTATAGTGGACATTTGCATCAGTAATACATGCAATACAACTATTCATAAAGAAGACCTAACAAGACCACCCAACAGGGGAGGTGAAGTGTAAAAAGGGCAAAAAGTAGGACACAATCTAAAAGTAAACACCCAGCATAACCAAAAGTATGCTAAACCTTTTTAACATTATTTTATAACTAACTTCACTCATCTTAAGTAGCTAGTAACCCTAACCCTAACCCTAGTAGTAGAAGTGTGAGTAGTGTTGCATAATTAAAATGTTGTATACTAATGATTTTGAAAATAGGCCCTCTGAAGAAGGTGCACGGGGAAAAGCCCCAAGGGACAAAGGAATATGCACTCAGGAATCATAGAGATGACCAGCTTTCAAAACGGGACAAATTATTAACTCCAGGAATAAACAAATGCTCTCTCCCACTCTGGACGAGGGCAAAAGTCCAACACAATCAGGCGCCCAGTGGTGGGGGGCATTGTTTGCTCAGGTGGAGAGGGAAGACCAAGACCGGGTCCAGACCAGGGGCCAGACCAGTCCCAGACTGTGACGTCATCG